GGGGGGGGGTGTAGACCAGCTGATGTTTCTGACAGCTGTTTGTTTATGGATGTAAAAAGTTTTCTGCCTCTTCAGATGAGCCGAGACTTCCTGAGAGAAGCTTCTCCTGAACTTCCTGAAGCGAGCAGTCCAGCCGGCTCTGCTGCTCCAGACCTGGAAGGTGATTTCATACCTTTAAATATGAATTATACTTTTTAAAAGCTGCAGTCTGTGAAGACCAGAGGTGTCAAACCAAGGCCCGCGGGCCAGCGCTGGCCCTCGTTAAGATTTTATTCAAGTGAAATAGTTTAGTTTCTCATGACAGCTGGACAAGTTTCAAACCAAGAAAATAAAGTTTAAATTTTTCAGTAATCTTTGGTTTTGGTGAGAGGACAAAACAACAGAGAATCAACTTCTTTACTTAATTTAAAGTCAAATAATGAGATTTTTAGTTTGTTTTTCTTTTTTTAACTTGATTTGCTGGATTATGGTCAAATTTATCTCCAAGAAATAATAAATGAAAAATTGTTGATTGTAAGAATGCTAATGATTGGTCTTTCTAAATTTAATCTTTAGTTTGTTAAATTATGTTTGTCCTAAATGCTCCATGAAACATAGTTTGGAAAATATGATTTATATAAGAATAATTTGTTACAGGACAGTTTTTCAATAAATGTGAGCCATCATATCGAAATTTATAAAACACTGAAAGTCTCCATCTAGATCAAACAGCTGTGCCAGGGGACAAATTTATAGACAAATTAATATAATTCTTGAACTGAGGTCAGGGTTCACACTTTGGACATCCCTGATGTGTATAAAGCTGTGTGTACTGTGGATGCACCGACACAAGAGAAATGGGAAAATGTCTCATTTCAACAAGGAAACAGATTTTAACTGTTTTACCTCAAAGTGGATGTGATCTGACCAAAACTGAAGCTTATAAAACCCAGTAATTATTGTTAATTATTGAATTAGTTAAAGGGCCAATATTATGTGTTTCTCAGGCATAAATTTAAATACTATACCATAATAAAGTATCTTTGTCACCTTTAGTTGTTATTAAAATGCTGTTTTTATGTTTAAATAGAAAATAAACTTATCTTCTCATCACTTCCTCTTCTAAACGCCTTGAAATTGGCCTCTGTCTCTTTAAGAACCACCTTCCGCTTCTGTTCTGTACATTTCAGTGCGGGGGGGAGGGGATTCACGCTCGCGCCATGATGCAGTTTACTTGGCATCTGAAAATACATTTCCTCAAAGGTGTTTTTAATCTGAAAAGAGCTTCACTGAGTGAGAAATAGTGTTTAAAGCAGCAGACAGTTAAGTTTCACTTTCACTTTCACCCGAGAGTCTGCAGGAGTCATGGGCGGGGTGTGTGGGGAGGGGGTGCGCTCTGCCATGAGGAAGTTCGGATTAAAGACTCGTCCCAGAGGTGTTTCTGGTCTCCACCTGTCGTTTTGCTCCTCAGCATGGCTTCGTAAAAACACTGCAGGATTTCTCAAACATGATGAATGAGTCAGAGCAAGGCTTTGGGCATGTTTTTTATGAGAGTATAACATTATAACATGATATAAAACTCAGAAAAGTTGATTTTACATGATATTGTCCCTTTAACAGATATTAGCTTCTCTGGAACTTATTGTTCATCAAATTGTTCGTATTTGTTTTCCGTCTCTCCTGCCGCCTTCTTTAAGGTTCTGCAGCTGCTCAAACTTTTGTGTTTTTAATGACGTCGTCTGTTCTGTCCTGGTCTCCTCAGCTATAACTGCATCTCCAGAAACCATCACTATGAAAGAGACTGGGCCGATCACCATTCCTGCTGCAGAGGTACGGCTGGTCGAACATGAAGACACGTCCTGACAGTCTGCATTGAACTGATGTTTGTCCTCGTGCTCTTCTTCTCGCTCAGTTCGAGGGAGAGGATTTTCTCGACCATCATCTGGACACCATTGACCTCCTCCTCGCCCAGACTGATCCTTTTCGTGAAGGTTTGTGGTAAAACTGGGATGTTTTTGGCCACTGTAAGGACTGAAGAAGCCTCTTTTTCATCCTTGATCCTTTTCAGGAGGTGCTGAGTTACGGAGAAAAAGCGTGACGACTCAACAGGAAGAACGGGAGCTGGAGAGAGGAGACCAGGAGAAGGAGAAGACGAAGGATGTGACAGGATCCATCTCAGAGTAACGTTCTCCTCCTCCTCCTCCNTCTAAACGCCTTGAAATTGGCCTCTGTCTCTTTAAGAACCACCTTCCGCTTCTGTTCTGTACATTTCAGTGCGGGGGGGAGGGGATTCACGCTCGCGCCATGATGCAGTTTACTTGGCATCTGAAAATACATTTCCTCAAAGGTGTTTTTAATCTGAAAAGAGCTTCACTGAGTGAGAAATAGTGTTTAAAGCAGCAGACAGTTAAGTTTCACTTTCACTTTCACCCGAGAGTCTGCAGGAGTCATGGGCGGGGTGTGTGGGGAGGGGGTGCGCTCTGCCATGAGGAAGTTCGGATTAAAGACTCGTCCCAGAGGTGTTTCTGGTCTCCACCTGTCGTTTTGCTCCTCAGCATGGCTTCGTAAAAACACTGCAGGATTTCTCAAACATGATGAATGAGTCAGAGCAAGGCTTTGGGCATGTTTTTTATGAGAGTATAACATTATAACATGATATAAAACTCAGAAAAGTTGATTTTACATGATATTGTCCCTTTAACAGATATTAGCTTCTCTGGAACTTATTGTTCATCAAATTGTTCGTATTTGTTTTCCGTCTCTCCTGCCGCCTTCTTTAAGGTTCTGCAGCTGCTCAAACTTTTGTGTTTTTAATGACGTCGTCTGTTCTGTCCTGGTCTCCTCAGCTATAACTGCATCTCCAGAAACCATCACTATGAAAGAGACTGGGCCGATCACCATTCCTGCTGCAGAGGTACGGCTGGTCGAACATGAAGACACGTCCTGACAGTCTGCATTGAACTGATGTTTGTCCTCGTGCTCTTCTTCTCGCTCAGTTCGAGGGAGAGGATTTTCTCGACCATCATCTGGACACCATTGACCTCCTCCTCGCCCAGACTGATCCTTTTCGTGAAGGTTTGTGGTAAAACTGGGATGTTTTTGGCCACTGTAAGGACTGAAGAAGCCTCTTTTTCATCCTTGATCCTTTTCAGGAGGTGCTGAGTTACGGAGAAAAAGCGTGACGACTCAACAGGAAGAACGGGAGCTGGAGAGAGGAGACCAGGAGAAGGAGAAGACGAAGGATGTGACAGGATCCATCTCAGAGTAACGTTCTCCTCCTCCTCCTCCTGCACAAACATCAGTTTGTACAGAAACACACACAGATTAACGGTTCTGTCTGTTAGACTGCAGCCCACCACTGCTTCCAGTGAAGATGTCACCATGTTGCCTCAGGAGGAACCAGGTCCACATGCAGAAATCCCTGGACCTCCCCGAGAGCAGATCACCCCCGGCTCGGCGCCGGGCCTCCCCTCGCCACCCCCCGCTGACAGGAAAATACGTCCGAGGAGTCCTGAGCTGGAGGTGTCACATGTTTTTCTGTTAGCAAAATATCTCATAAACCACTGGATGGATTTTAATGAAACTCAGTTTTTGGATGTGAATCTGATTAACATCTGGAGTCAGTCCAATTCAAAATGGCCGCCATGGCTGATCAGACTTGGAGAACACAAAAATGGCTTTAACTCAGTTGATTTTTCAGACATGGAGCTAAAGTTTGATGTGGTAGTAGCTGAGAGTCATTCGCAGCAGAGTCGTAGCTTTAAGTTAAAAGTAGCCAAAGGCTCGCTCAATGCAGCCGAAGAATAAAAACAGCCAGAAGCTAGAAAAAAAGCTAAATGCTGCAGCTGTAGCTTTATGACAAAAGTACCCGAACTTAACTAAACACTAAAAGTTGCAAAATAGTAAGTAATAGCTACAGAAAGTCAAAGGCTAGCTAAAAGCTAATTGTAAAAGAATTGTAGCTAAAATCTGTTTTGAAGGATCTGAACAGATCTGTGTGGAAAATATTTGTAAATATATTACATATTTTGAAAATGATAAAAGTTACTGAGAATAAAAGTTGAACTCGTGAACGAGCTAAAAGTTTTGAGACATGAAGGAATAAGATGGCACGAAATGTGCAGAATTAATTAGATTGCAAAAACAAAACCAGGAAAACATTTAAATCATTAAATTAAAGTCAAGAATATTTTAACTAAAACTATGATACGTTGATAGTAAAAGTGCAACGATACAGAAAATTCACGATTCGGTTCGGTTCGATACTTTAGTCTCACGGTTCGATATTTTTTCGATACAAAAAAGAGAAATTTCCATGTCCTTTTTAACTTGTAATTTATTTTAATTAAGTACGAACATTTGTTTAACCTCAAAAGTACAGTTTTTAAATTAAATGTTGCTGAAACAGCAAGGTTTTCAGTGGATCTGTGCTCAACAATGCAGCCTAGGTGGAGTAGTCGAACACAGATCCACTGATCCTTCAACACAGAGCATCTTCAGAAGACAAGTTGATAAAATAAATGTTAAAAATCTGTATTGTCTGATACAAGTGTGTATTGAACCTAAAACACTGTCCGATACGGGTACATGTATTGTTGCACCCCTAGTTGATAGAGTATAATGACTTTATTGTGCCGTATTGAATCCTTTAGCTACATTTTAAAATCTAATATTTCATCTCCACATGATTATCAAATTTTATCCACTTCTCACATCATTAGGAGATCCAACCTACGCTGAGGAGGAGCAGGAAGAGGCAGCTGATCTTCTTCGATCCAGAGACACAGATTTCTGAGAGCGAGCAGCAGAAGCAGATCAATAACCCCCTAACTGAGACCACACACCTCGCTGTCCCTCTGCCCTCCAATCAAAGAATCATTCCTGCTTCTGAGCTCTTCGACAATCCCTGCTGCTGTCAGTAACACACCTGTTCACCATCACATCACACCACCAACACACACCTGTTCACCATCACATCACACCACCAACACACACCTGTTCACCATCACATCACACCACAAACACACCTGTTCACCAGCACATCACACCATCAATACTCCTGTTCACCAGCACATCACACCATCAATACTCCTGTTCACCATCACATCATACCACCAACACACACCTGTTCACCATCACATCACACCACCAACACACACCTGTTCACCATCACATCA